GTGGCGTCACAGTTCACAGCAACCTGCAACCTTTGGGCTCAAGTGATTCTCTTGCCTCAGCCTCCCAAGTAGCTGGGACTACAGGTGCCTGCCACAACACCTGGCTGTGTTTTGGTTGCAGCAGCCAGCTGGCATTGTTGTTTGGAGGGCCTGGGCTGGATTTGAATCCGCCAGCTCAGGTGTATGTGGCTGGCGCCTTAGCCACTTGAGCCACAGGCACCGAGCCCCAGCTCTTTTTGTTGTTGTTGTTGCAGTTGTCATTGTTCCTTTAGCTGGCCCGGCTGGGTTCAAACCCACCAGCCTTGGTGTATGTGGCTGGTGCCAGAACCACGTGGCTACAGGTGCTGAGCCCTAGCTATTTTTTTGGTTGCAGTCGTCATTGCTGTTTAGCAGGCTGGAGCTGGGTTTGAACTGCCAGCCTCAATGTTTGTGGCTGGCGCCCTACGCACTGACCTCCACCCTTAGTTTTCTTTACACACAATGGGAGACAGTTAACTTACTCTCAGTTCCTACATTTAATGAACTACTAAAAAACTCCCATCTTGCAGTAAAGATACTGATTTTGTGTACCATATGAATCCCTAAGGAGAAAAACAGAATTTTGAAAATCCCATCAATACAGCATGGGTATAGCAAAAAGCATGGGGAAAGCAAGAAATAATAGGAAAATGCAGTGTAAGCATTACAAGACCCAGATATCAATAATCTCAACAGAAGTAAATGGGCATGGCACTGAGAACGGACATAACTAGACAACATCTGGTCAGAGATGGTTTCTATAAGTCAGCTAAAACAAAACAAAATGCTCCATGAAGCCCATGGTTCTGGGTTGGAGGGCCAAGCTGGCAGCTTTGAGATTGTGGCAAACCGAAATAAGTTATGCAATATTTGTAAACATGGGGCCAGAAGGACAGTCTCCCAAAAAGAAGCCTGGGAAGGTAATCAAGGCAATGGTCTCTTGGAAAATGGGTATCCTTGGGCTAAAGGGAGGCACCTGGAGGCCAACTCTAAGCATTAAACTCTCCTGTATGAAAATATCCTCTCCTACCTTGCCTGCCAAACAGGGCACCTGCCTCTCACTGGGCTGTACCAGACCCCCAAGTATCACTCGAATCCAGATGTTTTTCCTCCTCTGGGAGAGCCCAGTTCAAACTAGGCATGCACAAGGTGGTCTATAACCACCAATGGACTCAGCTACCATTTTCTTTATCTAAAGGCACTTTAGGCTCAGCGCCTGTGGCTCAAGCAGCTAAGGTGCCAGCCACATACACCTAAGGTGGCGGGTTCAAATCCAGCCCGGACCTGCCAAACAATAATGGCTGCAACCAAAAAATAGCTGTGCGTTGTGGTGGGCGCCTGTGGTCCCAGCTACTTGGGAGGCTGAGGCAGGAGACTCGCTTGAGCCCAGGAGTTGGAGGTTGCTGTGAGCAGTGAAGCCATGGCACTCTCTACCCAGGGTGACAGCTTGAGGCTCTGTCTTAAACAAAAAAATAAAATAAAATAAAGGCACTTTATTTTTATTTATTTATTTATTTATTTATTTAGAGACAGAGTCTCACTATGTCACCCTTGGTAGAGTGCAATGGCATCACAGCTCACAGCAACCTCAAACTCTTGAGCTTAAGTGATTCTCTTGTCTCAGCCTCCCAGGTAGCTGGGACTACAGGCGTCTGCCATAATGCCCAACTATTTTTTTGTTGTTGCAGTTGTCATTGTTATTTAGCTGGCCCGGGCCAGGTTTGAACCACCATCCTTGGTGCATGTGCCTGGCGCTGTAACTACTGTGCTACAGGTGTTGAGCCTATTTATTTTTTTATTGTTGGGGATTCATTGAGGGTACAAAGAACCAGGTTACGTTGATTTCATTTGTTAGGTAAAGTCCCTCTTATAATAGTGTCCCACCCTCTAAAGGCACTTTAAAATGCTAGAAGTACTTTAATTAGTTTGCTAATCAGGATATCACAAGAAGCTCTTATATTTCATGTGATCTCTGTTATGATTTGCTAAACTAGGACTTTGACCAAGCTGAGACAAACAGCCTCCTCTCCAGCTCCCCCTCCCATCATGCAGCACTGTTGTTGTTTCTTCTGTTAAAGTATTTGGGGGTTACTTTCTCAGAAGGAACTTCAGTAGTTACAAACAATATGCTGGGATTGGCTCTGTCACATGCAGATAACACTTCTGAAGTCCAGGGTCTCCCAAGAGAAGCCCAGGCTATAAACTAGTGGCTTCAATCATATAAGGAGACAAGGTGGCTGCCACACAGAGGTTAGTCAGATGGCTTGTGGGGGAAGGTTTCCAGAATGGGGACCTGACAGTGGATGGCCAGAACAGTGTGGGGTTCAGAGAGAAAGAGGGGAATTAAAATTGGATGCATTCATTTGTTCATCACCCTAATGAATGCAAAGCTGATAGGAACATACTGTGCTTATGGTTTAGCTGGACAGCCAGGCAAATAAAGGAAAGATTATGAAGCCACAGGAATAGTGAGGAGAGAAATTTCTGCCCTGGACACCAGGGAGCAGCTATCTCAACCTCTTAGAGGGAGGGAGGAGCCAGGTCCAAGGCCTAGGCAGAGACAGGAGGTGGGGGATGAGGAGAGAGGAGCTTGGCAGTGTTTATTTGCAGGGCTGTGACCCTGCAGTATAGGGCAGGAAATCTCCCAGACAGGAGTGAGCTGGGTCTGGGGGATGGGCAGGCATCAAAAGGCTCTGCATGGTAGCCCTGAGGGCTGGGAAAGTAGCCATTTCTTCCATACTGGGTCACCTCAGTCCAACCTTACTCTCACCTCAGTTTCTCCACTGCATTGGAGGGGGGAAAAAGCAAAGGCTTTGAGCTCTGGGGATGAAAGGCTCAGCCAGGGCCCAGACCACTACTCCCTGTAAAACTGGGTGGATGACGCTGCTCCTCTTTCTGGCTGGTGAGTAGCCCATCCATCCTCTTTGAAGATGAAACATGCTCAAGCCTAATGAGGAGTCAGTTGGCTGAGGTGGGCGCTGAGCCCAGTCACCTGCCCCGCCTGGCCACTCCCAATTGGAACAGTAACCAGCCCAGGGCACAAAAGGAAACCATTTCACACTTTTCTCTACACATGCAGCCCCCCTCTGCCCTCAGCTTCCTTACTGGAGGGAAGGACATGTGAGGGGGAGCCCAGCAAGCTCCAAGGTAGCCTCAGGCTGCAGGAAAGGTGTTCTGAGAGCTGCCTCCATGGCCCTGGCATAGCACACCCTACACATGTGAGGCACTCTGCTGAGACCTGCCAGCCTCTCCATGTTTTCAGGCCAAATGATCACTTCCAACATGGCAGCCAACAAGGGGGATGCTTTTCAAACCTCCTTCACAAAATAAAGGATACTCTCAGACCACTCATTCCTCCTCCTCCCTGGTTGGACATGAATGGACATTTTCTGTGGCCAGAAGCCTGTGAAACAGACCCCTGTTAGGCAAGGTTGAGGAATGGTCTCCAAGGTGCCTGGAGACCTTGCTCTTATGGCTAGACCAAACACAAACCTCAACCTCTTCTTTTCTCTCTCACTACTTCTCTTCTTCCCCTACCAGCCTCCCTCTTGAGTCCTGCTGAGACCACCGCTGGGGCTGCCTCACCTCCTTTCTAGTGGCCTTATCACCAGCCTCCACCATGCCACCAGCTCCAGTTCCTAGGAAATACTTGACAAAGGAGAAGTAGCTGCAGATAGCTTTCACTTTCCCAGGAGGTGGCAGCCTAATAAATGCATTAATATTAGATATAACTGAAAGATAACCTTCTGTACATGGAAGAGGAGCATGCACCTGGGGACTAGCATATCTTCTTAATGGTTCATTTGTATTCATTAAGTAATTAGTTCATTTATCTGATTTGCACAGTGATGCCCAAAGGTTGGACTTCTGGATTGTCAACATCCAAACTTTGAGTGAATTTTTAGAATTACTACCTTTCTGCTGGGTGCAGTAGCTCACACCTGAAATCCTAGCACTCTGGGAGGCCAAGCTCAGGAGTTCAAGCCCAAACTTAGCAAAAGTGAGACCCTATATCTACTGAAGAAAAAAAAAAAAAGCAGGGCATCATGTTAGGTGCCTGTAGTCCTAGCTACTTGGGAGGTTAAGGCAAGAGGATTGCTTGAACTCAAGAGTTTGAGGTTGCTGTGAGCTAGGATGCCATGGGACTCTTCTCAGGGCAACAAAGTGAGATTCTATCTCAAAAAAAAAATTATCACCTTCCTAAATTACAATGATCTCTATCTCTACTCTTCATCTCAAGTCCTTAGGAGACAGGAGAGCTTACTGTGATACTCCCCCTGCTCCTCAGGGAGCTGGGTTGAGACACATACTCTGAAGCCCCCACACCTACCACCGCCCCTGCCTTTGACATTCACCCCAGGGACCCACAGGCCTCACTGTTCCAAACCCCACAACCTTCAGATCCTGGGGCACCTCCTTGCCCCTGACTCCTGCCAAACCTTGGCTTTCAAGAAAGAAGGGAAATGTCTGGAAATTTAATTAGAAAGCACTGGGGACAGGCCAAGGACTTAGCCTCAGTGACAACCACAGTGAAAGAGGACAGCAAGGCTGAGCCCAGCTCTGTCTCCCAGGAGAAAGGATGTCACTCATGTCCAGATATCCCTACCACCTATCCTCTGACATATTTCTCTTCTCCTTCCCCACACCAGCATTTTAGCTTTGCACCGTCCCTAAACAGTGCTTTAAGAATAACAGAGAGCCCCAGAGAACCCACAGTTCACAAAGTCATGCCAGGCTATGAAGACTGCAGTGGGCACATGAGTAGGGCCAGGGCTGTCTCTACCACATGCCTATGTGGATAGCATCCCCCATACCTGAGTGTATGATATGTGCAAGGACACTAATTATGGGAGGCAGCCTTTAGGTCTCTGTCCTGGCAATCATGAGAACCCGCATGCTGTGTGCAATGTGGACGATCCTGCCTTCCCCGCTACCTATGGTGGCAATGCCCTGGCAGAGGTAGGCAGGTGCTGAGTGCTTACCTTATAGTCTAGCTCAGTACTGGTCTTTGGCTGTTGCTCCTGGCAGGGTGGCAGGGACTCAAAGCCCAGGTACTGCTTGAGGGATGATGGCTTCATGAGGTACAGGAGCTGGCTGAGAGAGGACAGCTAGAAAAAAGAAGGCAGGTTGTCACTCATGAAAGGTAGTAGAGAGCTCAGGGTACTGTGGAGATTCTTGGCCTGCATACCTCAGCCGGTGGCTGATCAGTCGACTGACCTCTTAAGACCTGGATCCACCTCTCACTTATTAGCTGTGTGGCCTCCAAAGCCTGAGTGCTCTCATCTATACAATGGACTACATGCCTTCTTCCTGAAGAGGAGGGTCACACATTCAGAGGACCCCAACCACCTGAGCTGCTATTCCTCCTCTGTGGGCCCACCCTCCTCTGTGTGCCTCTTTTCATTAACTCTTCACTGTGGAGACATTTGACATACATGAAGAGGACAGGCCATGTGCTAAGTTCCCACCTGTCTATCATCGTTGTGAGTTACGAAAGCATTATCATCATTTGACATGACCTGTTTCGTTATTCACCTCCTCTCCACCCCTTCCCTGATTTTTTTTTCCTTCCAGAGAATTTTAAAGCAAATACAAACATCCTATCATTTTACCCATAAAGAGCTTCTAACGCTCACACCTGTAATCTCAGTAATCTCAGCACTTGGGAGGCTGTTCCAGGTGGATTGCCTGAATATACAAGTTCAAGACCAGCCTGAGCCAGAGTAAGACCCCCATCTTTAAAAACAGCTGGGCAGGCTCGGCGCCTATAGCTCAACCGGCTAAGGCGCCAGCCATGTACACCTAAGGTGGCGGGTTCGAATCCCCAGCCCAGACCCGCCAAACAACAATGACGGCTGCAACCAAAAAATAGCCGGGCGTTGTGGCAGGCGCCTGTGGTCCCAGCTACTTGGGAGGCAGAGGCAGGAGACTCGCTTGAGCCCAGGAGTTGGAGGTTGCTGTGAGCTGTAATGCCACGGCACTCTACCCAGCGGGACAGCTTGAGGTTCTGTCTCAAAAAACAAAAACAAAAACAAAAAACAGCTGGGCAAGGGAGGCGCCTGTGGCTCAGTAGGTAGGGCACTGGCCTCATATACCAAGGGTGGTGGGTTCAAACCCAGCCCCAGCCAGCTAAAACAGCAATGAGAACTGCAACAAAAAAATAGCCGGGCATTGTGGTGAGTACCTGTAGTCCCAGCTACTTGGGAGGCTGAGGCAAGAGAATCACTTAAGCCCAGGAGTTTGAGTTACTATGAGCACTCTATCTCTAACAAAGTGAGACTCTTGTCTCAAAAAAAGAAAAAGCTTCTAATGGAAAAGAGTAAGTATATTTTCCCCAATATAATCCCAATACCATTTCTTGCCCAACAAAATTACTAAGAATTTCTTATCACCATCCAACACCTATGTTCAGGTTTCTGTCTTTAAAATGTCCTTTTCCAGTTGGTCTGTGCAGATGGAGATTCCCCATAAGACCCAGACCCACACTCTGCATCTGGTTGACAAGTCACTTCATCTACTAGCTTCCCCACCCCATTTAGTTTTTGAAGAACCTGCCCAACCCCACTGAACAAATAGGTTCAGGAGAGAACGTGACCTGCATAAGTCCAGGTGTCTACAGCTAGCCACTCCCTCAGGTCCAGCCCAAGTGCCCAATTTGAATAGCCTTAGCTGGGCCCCAACAAGGACTGCCCAGCTGCTCTAGGGTGGAAGGAGAATGATGGAATAGAGCCAGGGTAGCTTACAAAGGCATCATCTCGTTAGACAGTGAGGGTGCAGTGTAGACACGGGTTAGGAGCCTGAGTCCCCTGGCCCAACTCCGTTTGAGCCCAGCCAGGCTGGCACACCTGGCTTCCTCCCGTGACTCACCCGCCATCACCTGCTTGGCACCTCAGCCAGCCATAGGCTTAGCCCACAAGAGCAGCTGGCCTAGGGGCTGGGAGTAAGGCCCAGAGCCTTGGCTTCTGGAGGGAAAGCAGGACTTCTTGGCCCTATTGTCTGATCCCTCTGGAAGAGGAGGAGAAGAGGAAGGGAAAAAAGAGGAAGGCCAAAACCATAGATGTGACACCTCGCTCAGGCTTCACAAGTCAAGGCAGTTTCCAAAACAGCCTTGTCTGCTCAGGGCTCACAGCTGAGCAAGCACAGGGGCAGTCCTCTGTAGCCTGTGCCCTCAGAGTGGCCCTGGGGTGGGCCGGCCTCCCCTGGCTGGGACCCTCCCTGCTGGAGGCCTGGGCAGGGTGGGGCTGGACAGGGGAGCACAGGACTGCCTCTTGCTGCTCACTTGATCTTGTGTTTTTCCTCGCACTCCATGAAAACAGCTTTGCGCACAGCAAGTGGCTGCCCCTGCAATCTGCCTCTCCCATTGTGCCTTCTGATTGTTGACTTTCTTTTGTTTCCAGCCAGCATCTCTACCACAAACTCCTCTCTGGGATAAGGGCTTGCATGGGCCTCATGGCTCCCAGTGGGGCCAAAGCCAGTCTGACACTCTCCCTACCCTCATCTCACTGCTGGGAGCCAGCTCTGCAAACACTCAGCCTATTAGGGCAGACACCTAGGGCAAGAAGCAAATAATTGCCAGCCTTGTCAAGAGGCTGACAGGAGGTGGCTGAGGCTGATTTCCAGAGGGGCACCTGTCCACACAGCATAAGCTCCTATGCTCAAATCCGGCAGTGGCTCCTCAAGATAAGATCTTAAGTGTCTGCAAGGCCCCAGGTGGTCCCACTGACCTTCCTGCTACTACCTGGAGCCAGTGCCCTGACTGGGTCTTCTGACCAGACAATGCAAAGCTGCTCCTCCTTCCAGTCCACCTTCCACTCCAGGTCCACTGAGCTCCCCATCTTCTCCTGCAGCTGTACTTCTTTCTTTTTTTCTTTTTTTTTTTTTTTGAGACAGAGCCTCAAGCTGTCCCCTGGGTAGAGTACCATGACATTACAGCTCACAGCAACCTCCAACTCCTGGGCTCAAGCGAGTCTCCTGCCTCCGCCTCCCAAGTAGCTGGGACCACAGGCGCCCGCCACAACGCCTGGCTATTTTTTGGTTGCAGCTGTCATTGTTGTCTGGCGGGTCCGGGCTGGGGATTCAAACCCGCCACCTTAGGTGTATGTGGCTGGCGCCTTAGCCGGTTGAGCTATAGGCGCCGAGCCAGCTGTACTTCTTTCTATAGCATTTATCACCTTTGAACAGTCTTTGCAATTTACTTGCTTCTTGTTTATTACCTGTTCCCCTTCCCTCACTGGATGTAAGCTGAGGGCAGTTTTGTTCATTGTTATGCTCCCAGAACCTAGCACCGGGCCTGGCATGTGGCTTATGTTAAGTATTTGTTAAATGAATGAATAAATGAATGGCCAAGACTGCAGCTGCCTTTCCTAGTAGATGCAAACCTTTATTCTTCTTGATATTGGCCACCTGAAGCCCATGTTTTCCAACCCCCAAACTGGAAGAAGACATGGTTTGAAAAATGTTTGCTATGTTGCAAGAGGTGGTCTGGGATAAGAAACAAACTCCTGACTTCATCCCCAAATCTGTTCCACCCGTGTCTTGCCCAGCTCAGTAAAGAGCCTCTCCATCCTGCCAGTTGCATAGCCCTTAGAGTCCTTGTCTCCTCTCTCACATGCATATCCCACTGTCTGTACTTGGGAAATGCACTTAGACTCTGACCAGTTCTCACCACCCACAGTGCTGTCTCCCCAGGCCAAACCTATATTGTCTCTCACCAAGATTATTGCAATCACCTCCTTCTTCTCCATTCTCAATAGTCTATTCTCAACACAGCTGCCAGAGGGATTTTAAACATATTTTTATCTATTTATTTTTTTGAGACAGAGTCTCACTTTGTCACCCTCGATAGAGTACTATGACATCACAGCTCACAGCAACCTCCAACTCCTGGGCTTAAGGGATTCTCTAGCCTCAGCCTCCCAAGTAGCTGGGACTACAGGTGCCTGCTAGAACACCTGGCTGTTTTTAGAGACGAGGTCTCATTCTGGCTCAGTCTGTTCTCAAACCTATGAGCTCAGGCAATCCACCCGCCTGGCCTCCCAAGTGCTGGGATTACAGGTGTGAGCTGCTGCACCCGGCCTTAACATTTTTTTTTTCTTTTTTTGTCCAGGGTTGGGTTTGAACCCGCCACCTCCTGTATGTGGGACTGGCGCCCTACCCTTTGAGCTACAGGCGCTGCTCCATTTAACATTTTAATAAATCACATTTTGTTTGTGTTCTGTTCAAACCTTCCAATGGCTTTCTACTTTGGCATGAAAGTAAAAACCCTCATCATGGGTCAGGCATGGTGGCTCATGCCCCTAATTCTAGCACTCTGGGAGGCTGAAGGGGGAGGATCATTTGAACTCAGGAGTTTGAGACAAGCCTGCAAGACCCTGTCTCTACTAAAAATAGAAAAATTAGCCAGGTGTAGCATGGCAGGAACCTGTAGTCCCAGCAACTCAGGAGACTGAGGCAGGAAAATCCAGAGCCCAGGAGTTTCAGGTTGCTGTGAGCTTAGGCTGAGGCCCTGACACCCTAGCCTGGGGCAACAGAGTAAGATTTTTGTCTCAAATCAAACAAACAAACAAACAAACAAATAAAACCAATCCTCACCATGCCTTGACCTCAACTCCTACTGTTATACTGTCAGCCTCTGCTCTAGCCATGCTGGTCTCATGTTATCCTTCCAACCTAAGAGGCCTGTGCATGCTCCAGGGCCTTTGCACTTGCTACTCCTTCTGCCTGAAATGTTCTTTGACAAGAAACCTGACTCCTTCACATCTGTGCTCAAATGTCCCTTTCTCTGTTTACCCTTGCAAAATAGCATCCTCTCCTCTTTTATGGGCTTTATTTTTTTTGTCCACAACACTTATCACCATCTGGTTTTCCAAATATTCACTTCCTCCTTGATGCCTGTGTCTGCCTGGCTCTGGACTGAGAGTTTCTAGAAGGAGGAGAGTTCTGCCCTGCGGTATCTTCAGCGCCCACTCAGACCTGAGTCAAAACATTAGGATTCTTAGGAACATAAGGATGCACTATCTCGCCCTGAGGCTCTCCTGTAAAATGCAAGCCTTGGTATTGCAGCATCGTGATTGCCTACAGAAGTCTTGTCCCTTAAGTTCAATTCTCCAATGTCTGCTCCTGCTCCTAGGGTCTCAGACTCCTGAGTTCAAGTGATTCCCCCCGCTCAGCCTTCCAGAGTGCTAGCGCAGCTTGTGGGAGAGGCAGAGCCATGTAGTTCAGAAATCGGGGATGCTGCTTCCTGCCCCTGGTGCCCCACAAATTGCTCTGCCCTGAGCTAATTCCAGGTCCTCTGCTCCTACATGAGTAGTTTCTCAACCCCTGGACCCTTCTTTACAGTAAAATTTATTGACTATTTGTGTGTTGATCAGAGAGAGGAAGGGGCAGCCTCTGCCCTTCTGTCTATGATCCAGGACTAAGCTTAAGGGGAGAGCAGGGCATCTTCAGTGTGCAGTGGCAGGTGTGACCCAGGTTGCTGAGAAATGAGGAAGAGGCTAGAGAGGCTGAGACAGCATGCTACAGTGGTCAAAGGCAGGACATGATTCCCAGCTCCACTGCTTCCCTGCTTGGTGACCCTGAGAAGTTTCCCAGCCTCAGTTTTCTCATCTGTAAAGTATGGATGACAGTAACAACCCTTACAGTCAAGGGCTGCTACGAGGGGCAAGCACTGAGACCAGAACCTGGGACACAGCAAGTGCTTTGCATGTGGTAGTCACCACTACTGCAGGTGGATGTGACAGATGGAAAGGAAGAGGGGACCAGTGCACAGCCAGGGCTGTGTGTAGATGGGAGGCTGGGCTGGTCTTCAAGGAGGCTAAAGAGAGCAGGAAGCACCAGAAAGGCATGTTGAGAAGTTGGGAAGGGGCATGTGGGCTTGAGTGGGTGCTGAAGGTGTGTTTCAGGATCAGTCTGACAGGCCAGACTGGAAAGGGGAGTGCCTGGCAGCCCAGAGACCTGGGAGGAGGTTGTGAGCAGCCCCAGGCTTGCAGTGAGATGGAGAAGTGCATCAAGAAGGTTGTAGGCAGGTCCCTGCCGGTCCTTTCTATCCCTCCAGCTGCCATGTACCTCTTACTCCTCTCCTTTCTGCAGTATAAGCGCTGACTCATCCTCCAAGACCTGGCGCAAGGCATCTTCTCTAGAAGCAGCATTAGTCACTGTGGTCACAGCCAGCTTGCTCACCCCTCTCTTCTGAGGTTGTCTAGGTGCTGTCTCCCCAGTGCCTGCTGGTGCCCATGCAGAGCCTGGCATACAACGCTGCTCAGCTTAGTACCTGATGAGCATGTGGGCATATGATGGGCTCCAGGCAGACAGCCAACAGGGGAGTGCAAAAACTCAGGCCTGGGACCCGCAGAGGTCAGGGTGGACCTGGTTTCAAGAGACACTAGCCTGTTGGGTGCCAAGGAGACCTCCTGGGTCAGGATCTCTCTGGGGGAGGCGGTGCCACTGACATGCCCCTTTCACTTGTCTTCTGGCAGCTCCCTCTAGGCCCACACAACCCAAACTGTCCTCCTGACACTTGTCCTCAGCCACACTGGCTTCCAGCAGGAACACAGCCTTTTTATGCTCCCCTTACTCTCCCCACATGGGCTCTGGCCAATAAAAAACAAATCAAAGTGAGACCTCAAACCTTGAATTGGCCCTGACAGTCAAGCAACTCTTTCAGTCACTGCCAACCCTGCTCCTGGGGGGCTGCCCTACTACTTCCTGTCTTCCTTCTTGTCCCCACTTTGCACTATGCTCTGTGTATCTCAGGGCTCAGTGATCCCTTGGGCAACACCAATGCCTGCCTTTCAAAGCCCTCAGGCCCCTCTACCTGTGCCCTCTCTGTCGTTATCTCTGCTGGGTGTCCCTCATGACACTGCTCTTTTTGCTCTCCCTTCCTCACAGGGACCATCTGCCACTGCTTCACTACCCCTCCCAAGGTCTTGGCCTGGGGTGCATTCTCCCCTACATGCCTACATGTTCCAACAATCCACTTCAGTGTCTGTTCCTTCCACAAGCATGCCCTGCCTTCCTGTTGGTGCCAGGCATTGCTAGATGCTAAAAAGAAGTGGGGAGCCTGTTCTCAAGGGACTTCTATTCTGCTGTGGAGAAAGGTGAACTCAGATGCTGAACAAATTAATAGGAAAACATCAGGAGGTGACTGCCATGAGTAACTTAAGATAGCGATAGATGGTGCTAGGGTAGTGATTGGGTAGTCAGAAAGGCCTCCTTGAGAAGGAGACATTTCAGCTGGAGTTGGATAACAAGAAGTCCCACCCATGCTAAGTCTTAGAGGAAATAATTCAAGGCAAAGTGGGCAACTGGAGCAAACGCCAGACCCAGGCCTCTCTGACAACCCAGTTGGTCATCCCTCTGAGGAGCCATCCTGTAGTCACGGTCCAATTTCACCCAAGGAGTTGCCGAAAACACTCTCCTAGTATTTTGGGCAAGAGGTTATGCAGGCTCACCTCATGCAGTTCCAACAATCAGATATACATAGCCATCCTTCACCTGAGCGAAGTGTTGCTGAGGTAGAAGGTTCAATTGTACCCAGCAACTCTTCTGGGATTCCAGGGAGATTTCCAGGGAGGTAAGGACATTCTCAAACTCCCTTCTATCTACCCTTAGGCTGATGTAATGGCCTCTGAGCTGCTGGGGGTTGCAGTCAGAGGTTTTTGGAGAGAAGAGAAATGGGGAAGGAAGAAGGAATCCCAACATCTTTGCTACCCCAAAGATGCCTAACTCTTAAAAATGATCGGAATTCTACTCGTAAAAATAGGTAAGGACCAGGGGTGGTGGCTCATGCCTGTTATTTGGGAAGCTGAGGGAAGAGGATAGCTTGACACTTGGAGTTTGAGACCAGACTGGGCAACATACTGAGATCTTGTCTCTGCAAAAAAACTTAAAAATTAACTAGGCATGCCTTAGTGCCCGTAGCTCAGCAGTTAGAGTGCTGGCCACATGCACCAGGGCTGGCAGGTTCGAGCTGGCCCAGGCCTGCTAAACAACAATGACAATTACAAAAAAAAAAAAAAAAAAATAGCTGGGCGTTGTGATGGGCACCTATAGTCCGAGCTATTTGGGAAGCTAAGGCAAGAGAATCGCTTAAGCCCAAGAGTTTGAGGTTGCTGTGAGTTATGATGCCAAGGGTGACATAGTGAGACTCTGTCTCAAAAAAAAAAAAAATTAGCTGGCATGGGCCTGTAGTCTCAGTTAGTTGGGAGGCTGAGGTACGAGGATTGCTTGAGCCCAGGAGTTCTAGGTTACAGTAAGCTATGATCATGCCACTGCACTCCAGCCTGCACCACAGAGTAAAGACCTTGTCTCTAAAAATAAAAAAATTAAGATGGTTTAAACAAAGTTGAAATGATAAGTTTTATGTTATGTACATTTCACAATTTTTTTAAAGTAATAAGGCATCCTAGATCACTGATCCTAACTCATGATAGGCATGCAAACAGTAATTAATGAATGAAAGAACATTCGCAGAAAATTCAAACCTAGCTTTGCTCTCTAGGTTTAAGGCTGGAAAACCTTTGGGAGAAGTCTCTGGAGTGAGTAGGCTATGAGAGTGGTTTGCTCAACACAGGCCTCCCTGGCCCACCAAAGGCTAAAAACTCACCCTGGTCTTCTCTTGCCAGAGATGGAGCGTCTCTTGCTGGCCCAACATTCGAGCAATTACCACGAGGCTGAGCTGGCTTCGAAGCTGCCTGGGAGAGAAAGAGTAACAGAACTTGAGGGTATGTGACAATCTGAGAGGGGATGGAGGGGTGAGCCTGAAGGTGGGAGCAGTCCAAACTAACTCACTCAGAATGGAGCTCTATCTCTTCTTTAAGGACAGTAGAGATATGAACAGCTCTGTTGGGTTTTCATAGCTCATAGCAACCTCAAACTCCTGGACTCAAGCAATCCTCCTGCCTTAGCCTCCAGAATAGCTGGCACTATCGGCATGTGTCACCTTACCCCACTAACCTTTTTTTTGAGACAGAGCCTCAAGCTGTCGCCCTGGGTAGAGTGCTGTGGCATCACAGCTCACAGCAACTTGTAACTCCCAGGCTTAAGCGATTCTTTTGCCTCAGCCTCCCAAGTAGCTGGGACTATAGGCACCTGCCACAACGCCTGGATATTTTTGTCATTGTTTGGCAGGCCTAGGCTGGATTCGAACTTGTCAGCTCTGATGTATGTGGCTGGCACCTTAGCCACTTGAGCTACAGGCACCAAGCCTTTTTTTTTTTTTTTAACAGAGTCTCACTATGTCACCCTCAGTAGAGTGCTGTGGCATCACAGCAACCTTAAGATCTTGGGCTTAACCAATTCTCTTGCCTTAGCCTCCCAAGTAGCTGGGACTACAGGTGCCCACCACAACACCCGGCTGTTTTTCTATTGCAGATGTCATTATTGCTTAGCTGGGTTGGAACCTGCCAGCCTCAGTGTATGTGGCCAGTGCCGTAACCACTGTACTACAGGTGCCAAGCCCCACTAATCTTTCAAATTCTTTAGAGATGGAAGGGGTCTCACTATGTTGCCCAGGCTGATTTCCAACTCTTAACATCAAGCAATCCTCCCACCTTAGTTCCCCCAAAGTGCTGGGATTATAGGTGAGAGCCACTGAGTCTTCTTAACACCTCTGTTTAGAGGGCTGGCCTGTGCCCACTCAACCTTCTCCAGTGCTCTAGACTAGAGAGCCAGGGAGAGGCAGCCACCATTAGGGCTGAGCCAGGGGCAGCAAACAGAAGACCCTCATCCCCACTCTCCCCTGACCCACAGCCCCCGCAGCAGACCCTGGGGGTACAGGCCATGCCTTTGCCCCAATCTTCCATTTTCTTCCCCTCCCCTACCACCAGGCCTATGCCTGGGTCAGCCAGGACCAGCTTTCCAGCTGTTCTTGGGAACCCAGCAGCAGCTGGGTCAGGAGCACCGTGGGAGGTAAACAGCCCCTCAGAGTTGCTTACTCTCCAGCCAGAGTCAGAAGTCCTGCATCTGGGCTTCATTAATCTAAACTGAGGCCTGCATTGGGAGCTCCTTTGTGTGCAGCAGGCAGGCAGGGAGGGGCAGACCTGGGGGTGAGGGGAGTGGGCAGGCCAGGAAGGTAGTGCTGGGGTGGTTCCAGATGGGAAGAGGCAGCTGGATGTCAGGACAGGGCTGTAATCCAGAAATGAAGAAAAGCAACAGAAAAAGCACCAAGGGGGTGAATGGATAAAAAGCAACTCACATCTTAAGATTGGAGAGCCCCCTCCTTGCCCACGGCCTTGCATCCTCATGGCCCTCTCTGCCTTTTAAACACAGTCCTGCATCCTCAGTTCCCTCTGGGACACAGTGGGGGCAGTGGCACCACTTTTCTACTTTATAGACTGAGAAATTACTCCAGGGAGGGGGGAAAAAGATTCAAATGTCGCCCAACACCACCTAAACTATAGATAGCTGGCTGTGGGTTCTTCCTTCCCCAGAAGTCTGACCCCCACCTGGCAAAGTCTCCCCACAACTCAAACCAGGCAGGCAGAGGGGGATGAGGAATCCACTGGAGCCATCCCAGCCACTGTCATATAAGGCAGCAGGCTGTAGGCTGGCTCATGCCAGGCCAGGCCAGGCAAAGCCAGCCTCCGCCTTCCCCCCTCCCCTCAACTCCTCCACAGGCCTCTGTAAGACCAGGACACTGGATTAGCACTTAAAGGAGCCTAAGGCACAGGGAAATTTGGAAATGACTTTTCCAAACCCACACTGCAAAGGCAGGAAATGGAATGCAGGGACGCTGCTTCCCAGCCCCCTCATGGTGCAACTGAACAGGTACCCTAGGGGGCATTAGGACCAGAAAGAAGGCAAAGGCAAGGCCCTGTGTGCCATTGGATGTCATGGCGATGACACGGGTCAGTGCAGCTCCTCTGGAGCCCCTTGTCTTCATTCCCTCAGAGGGGAACCAGGCCCTGCCAAGGCTGAACTACCCTAAAAGGCTGTCAGGCATCTTGCCAAAGGCATGAGCTGCCTTTTCCACATCTCTAGGGCAGCTCAGGAAGCAAGAAAAGTGGCCTGTATTACCATGGAAATGCTGCCTGACACCCTGCCTCAGGGCGCTGCCATGGCCCCTCTCATCTATCACACTACCTGTCATACCACCCTCTCCTTGGTCCTTCCCTTGAGTGTGTGCTACCCTACCCTGGCAGGAAGAACCTGGCCTGGGCTCAGAAGTTGGTATAACCTCCCCTGTGGCAGGCCCACGGCCACTAGGACTGGCCATTCACATACCTATTTGGTATACAGTGTGGACAGGAGGATATAGCAGAATACAACCAGCCACAGATCCACCATTGAAGAATCTATCCACATCACTCACAAATGCTGTGCTAAGGAAGCTATATGTGCAGAAACAGGCAAATGAATCTATGTGATAGAAGTCAAGAAAGCTGCTGCCTCTGCAGAAGTGGCTGATACTGTGTCTGTGGTCATCAGTGCCCATCTATGATGTGTCCTTTCCTTCACATATTAGTAAATAAAAAGGTACATGCAGACAATTATACCCCCGCTCGCATTCTTATCTCCCTTTCTTTGTATTATAAGAGCATAGAATCTCAGGCTTAGAAAAGACCTAAAACACTTAATCTAATGTCTGCCTGTTTACTCATTTAATTCCCTTTGCCACATTCCTAGCCAGTCTTCCTGTCAGCAAAATGCAGTATCTGGACAGCCCAGTTCACCTACTACAACTGAGCAAAGGAAGTTTTTCCCACATTTTGCCAAAATCTGCTCTTCTGGGACTTTTTTTTTTTTTTTT